CCGCGCCGCCCGGGACGCGCCACCATGGGGCCCCGGCTCGGCGTCTGGCTGCTGCTGCTGCCCGCTGCCCTTCTGCTCCACGAGGAGCGGAGCCGGGCCGCCGCGAAGGTGAGCCCCCCTTACCCCCCGCCCCGGGAGGGGTACCCTCTCCGGCCTCCCCGCCCCGGACCCCCGGGCTCCCCACGAGGCCTCTTTGTCCAGCGCCCCTTGGGGGGGCGCGCGGGGCACCGGCCAGGTGCACTCCTCCAGCCGCTCCGGGGTGGGGACCTCGCCCCCCCTCCCCGCCCCGGTCGCGCATCCAGGACGGACCCTCCTTTGTTAAGGTCTAGGGACCGGGGAGTTGGGGGAGAAAAGTTCTGCCGGGCTGGGGAAAAGGAGCGAAACTTAGCGCGCACCGTGGCGGAGCTTTGAACCCTCAACGCGGAGGCGCTGGGCAGCCGGGTGCCTTCACCTGCCCGGCATTCGAGCCCCGGGAGCCCGGGAGCCCGGGCGGGAGGTTGGAAGGGGGGGTGCGGGGGCGCACCCCGAGCTGCGCGGGGCCCCCGCACACATGTGCCTGGCAGCCGCTTTGGGCGTGTTTCTGGTTGGAGACTGATGGTTGAGGCTCAGCTCTGGGCTGCCTGCCTGGAAACAGCTGTATCCTAGCTTTCCTGGGAAGGAAGGACAGACGGACGGACAGGCTTGTGCCACCTAGGGCGGGCTGGCCAGCAGCAGGGGCTGTCTATACCTCCAGCCGAAACCGTCCCCTTCTGCTTTTTATTAATAGTGTTTGTCTTAGAATGAGACCCGAGTGTGAAACCAAAGTGAAACTCCATCTCATTGTTCTGCGTTTTCCGACTTTTCCTCTCGGGCTCTCTCTTGGCTGGTGCAGAAGGGGCCATGGAGAGCCATTTGTTTGCCCAAGTCAGACTCAACTTGCAGCCCTGGTGTTGCTTCTCTCTCCCCTCAGGAGAATAAAGACTGAATGGTGCCTGGGCCCAGCTGTCCTGACGGCCAGAGGTGTGGCCTCTTCATGCCCCCCCTCCTCCCTCCACCCTTAGCTTGTTTTCCCACACATGCTTTTTCTTTTTTAACTATTTCTTAATCTAGCTCTCCCCTTTATTTTTGGTCTTTTCCCCCCGCTAGAATTTCACTTCTCTTCTGGAGGAATGAAACTCCTCTTGGATGAAGTGTTACATACTAGAATAGAGAGAGCGGTAGTCTGGACTTGTGTGTAGCATGTACCAAGTACTTGTGTCTGTAGGTAAGAACTCGCCTGCTTCTTGGAAGTCTCCCCCCCCCCCCATAGATATCGAAAGGCCGGGTGATTTTTACTAACGACGAAGTTAGAAATATCCTCCGGCCTTTCGAGTCTCTCTGAACCATTCCAGTTGTTTAAACACTCTTTTCTAGTGATGGCCAAATATTTTTAAAAGCGCGAGCATGAGAACACTTTATTTTGGTTTAGGATACTGACCAGATTTACCACTTCTGAGGACACATTTTAGGCTGGGTGGCCAGGCAGATCGGAGTTTTATTAGGAAGTATGAAACCAGTGTTTGGAGTTGGATGTTCTGATTGGCATGTTAGCAGAGAAGAGCTAACTGCAAGAGCTGACTTATCAGACATCTAGGACTTAAAAGAATGAGGCTGTCATGCATATAAACTCCTGATATTAGCTAAAAAGTCAAACTCACTGATGTTGAGTTTGAGATTATTTTAATTTCCTTTATGTATTCTCTAAAGCCCCAGGACATTTGTGGCCATGAGCTTTGCTGTATCCCTCAAGATATAAAGTTCCTAAGAAATCTGGTCTGTGGCCATCTGATCACCAGTTGACCTAAGACATTATCATTTTATTATATTTTTCCTGGCTGAGTTAGAGAGGAGCAATTAAGATGTATATGACATGTGGGTATACAAGAATCCATTTTAAAAATATCGAGTAGGTTTTAAAGTTCAGCTCACTTTGCATGCCATCAGTAAGATTGTTGTTTCCTTCCTTCCAAAATCAGCTGTTAGGTATATCAGAGTGTTGAAAAAACTTCTACATTGATCCAAGACAAATATAATTTTTTAAAAATCCAGCTGAATGGTAAATGCTGCAAAGTTTTCAAGCCCTAATTCAGGAGTGAGTAAATGTAATTCTTGGATTCCTGTGTCTTAAGATTCCTGATTTGCTTATGCACATAGTACCCTACTGTGTGCTGGCTATGAATTGTACTTTTTTTTTCTCAATGAAAGGCCATTTGGACATTGTCTGCTGTGACTCTTACTATTTCTTTACTAGCAGATGGATTTTTCCAAACTTTTGCTTGTGTGTGTATGTGTGTGTGTGTGTGTGTGTGTGTGTGTGTGTGTATGCATGCATGCACATTAGTACATCAGTACTGGGGCTTGAACTGAGGCTCAGGGCCTTTGGCCCTTAGCTTTTTTTTGCTCAAGGCTGAAACTCTACCACTTGAGCTATACCTGTAATTCTGTTTTTTTTTTGCTACTTAATTGGTCATAAGTGTCTCAGGTTCTTTTTTGCCCAGGCTGGTTTTGAACTTTGATCCTTAGATCTCATCCTCCTGAGCAGCTAGGTATATAGGTGTGAGCCACCAGCATCCAACTAAAAAACTATTGCTTTTATCTTATGTTGAAACTACTTCTGTTCCCTGTCCTCCAACCTTTTTTTTCTTTAAGATAAGAAAGACTAGAGACACATATCAGCCCCCGGGAGTTATGATCATATGCACCTCTGATTCTGTTGGGCTGCCATCTTGAGATGAATGAACACCCCCGCCTCCCCTCCCCCCGCCCCACAGGTTCTATATGATGCTTCTTAACAAACTGTCAGGATCAGAAATGTGAACTTTCCCTTAAGAGGTATATCCATCTATACCTGCCTATCAATCTTATCTCCCTGAGTGACCATTAGTCATTCCAGACAGTGAATGCTGGCCCTGAGCTCAAAGGAAGTGATATTTGGTTCTCCTGGGAGCTTGAACCAGCTTATGGGGATGTGGATTGGATGTGTAGCCTTTGCCTAACTAGTAAGGGCATGAAGGGAGAGGTGGCGGGTAGGTGGGGGTTCTCCAAACCTCGTGTTCTTTGTACTTGAGGTTGAATCTGAGGGGATTTGTGTGTCAGGCCAGGCCTTCATACAGGTGTGTACACTAGAATCACGTGGACAAGGTGAATGCAATTAGGGACAAGAGACCCCAAAGTTTACATCTGCTTTTACTCAGTAGATGACTGGGGGAACTCTTGGAACCCCATGCCTCAGTTTCCCAGGCAGATCTGCCCCTGCCTTACATGGTCCCGCTTTTTCTTCCTTATTCTACAGGACAGGAAGGGATGCCTCCTTCCTATCCTGCCCCAGCTAGGCATTGGCCATGCAACAGAGTGTGACACCCAGTCTCTGCCCAGAAGGACATAGACTGGTGAGAAGTACTGAGAAACAGAGACACACCCAACATGGCTACCGGCAAGGGAAAGCAAGGGCTATGGAGAAGAGGGAGAAATAGGAGTTGCCAGGTAGCAGCTGGTTTTCACCTTGATGGAGGGATAGCTATAGTGGTAAAGCCAAGGGTCTTTGTGCTGAAAGACAAATTTGGAGTCCCCTCCTAGGAGATTCCAGATGACCTTGTGTATAGTTTAGCCTGGTGGTGGCTGACCTTTGATCTTGGAAAGGGAAGTGGAGGAACAGACACCCTGAGAACTGTGATAAGGAGCCTCTAGCTCCCTCCTAGGCCTGGGCTGTATCCTGTCCCTTTTCTACATGCACCAAGCCCATTAGGGGGGTTTGGTAGTTTAAACACGGATGACTGACTCTAGGTAGAAGTGCCTGTAGGAACTCACCCAGAAAACCTACCCTGGCTTCACAAAACTCTACATTACTCATTAACAAGGCTGTTGGCACTTTTCTGGGAACTGGTAAGGGGGGTTCTGACAAGGTGGGTTACTCAGTGAAGAGGTGGTGAAGGTTTTTTTCAGACAATGGAAGCCATGAGTGATGATGCTCTATGACAAATCCTCATCCATTGGGAGACGTTTCTGGAAGTGAAGGCATCCCGACTTTGTCCTGGGTGCGTTTGGCAAAGTTTGTTATTAGCTGAACAACAGTTGTTCCTGACGTGGAGAAAGGATTAGGCTCACTCAAGTGTCTTTAAAGCATGTTTGGTATTTTGAGCTCTTGGGATGGAGTAAGCAAAAGCAACAATAGAATGCCTAAAATAATACCCGAATAGCATTGTTCTTCCTGCAATTATTTAACAGCCACTAAAAAATGTCAGCCATAGAACAAAACAGAAGACAATTCCTACCATTCTCATGCATACAATGAAAAGTGGTGGAAACTGGATGCTTGCACTCTAGGACAGGCCCTTTGAGGTGTGGGAGGGCTGAGGGATTACCTGAGGTTAATGTTTGTGGTCTGTTACACAGCGGGTTACACAGCCATTGCTTTCCATTGTCCCACCTCTGTCCTGGGCCTTTTTGATTCTCCAAGTCCTACCCCTTCCCTGGCCCCACACTGGGCGTGTCTTTGGGTTGGGTTCTGCTGGCTTCTCCTTGTTCTCTGTCCTCTATCTTAGGGATTCCCTATCATCTCCTGCCCAATCACCCGCCTTCTT